AATGATGATGCGACCCCAGTGGCCGGCGCGGCGGCCAGAGCACCATTCCGACGCGAATTGGAAATCACGCAATAACGCAATCACGCAACAAACAATACTGTAATCATGCAGGCGCTGGGACGCCGAGTGCATGCAGTACCATTTGGATCGTGATGAAACCACCGCTAAACACATGACCTGCACGGTCCTTGCGTTTGAATGCCCATATTCGTTCCTGTCTCTGTCAACTTTCATGGGCAGGGTTTTTTGAAAAGGCTGGTGAGAATACGCGAAGCGTGAGTAATGCCAGAGTGAGGGGGGCGGGGGGGCGAACGGTCATTCACTGCCCCTGGGTGCGCGGCTGAAATGTGGCTCTGCGGTGCCAAGTGTTGTTGTTGGTGTTGTAATTGGTGTTGTTGTTGGTGGTGTTGTTGCTGCGGGTGATGCTGCTGCTGCTGTTGCTGATGTGGTTGTTGTTGCTGTTGATGGTGATGTTGTTTGTTAGTTTGTTGCTGTTGATGCTGGTATTGGTGGTGTTGATGTTGTTGGTGGTTGTGGTGTTGTTGGTGTTGTTGTTGTTGGTGTTGTTTGGGTGGTCGTCAAACCACTCGCGACTGGGCCCGCGACCCACCCGCGACCCGCCCGCAAGTTGCCCGCGACCCACCCGCGACCCACCCGCGACCAACCCGCGACACACCGGCGACCCCACCCGCGACCCACCCCGCGACCCACCCGCGACCAGCGACAAACTCGGCCGAACGCGCAAAAAGGTTCAAACACCAATTCTGGTTACGGCTGCCTCGATTTTGCTTGCAATTGTCAGACACGTTGCTTCGTCGGCGCAAGATTTGGCGTTGATTCCCAAATCGGGGTACAACTGCACGCGTCCGCAAATAAGCAAAAGGCTCAAACCAAATATTCGGTTGAGCTACATCCTGCTTGTGATTACCTGGGTTTGTTTTGATACCTACCAGACGCCTTGCGTCGTCGTCGCAATGCTTCGCGTTGATCCTCACATACAGGAACTGCAACAGCAGACGCGCGCGAAGGGGCAAAGGCTCAAACACAATGCATGGTTGGACTTGACCTCTCGCCCATGTTTGCACGAGTTTGATTCGACACCTGCGACAGAGACCTTACGCCGCCGATGGAAAGCGGAAGGCCAGCCGATCGCTAGTGGAGGGGAGGGGCGGGCGACAATCAACGCCGAACGTCGCAAAACACCACGGGCTTCCCAACCGGCATGGAGGAGGCCCGGATTACAGAGCCCCGACTCATGGAATGCACGAAGGAACGAGGAGGAAACAGGCAGAGGGCGCGAGGATCCGGCCCACCCACGCGGGAAGAGAGGAGAGGGGACTCCTTTGATGGCGCAGAAGGCGCACGTTCTCGTAAACACCTTGGAAAAATTCTCGAATCCGACATGCAAAATGTCCCGGCCGCGCGGCCGAGGGGCGCGTCCTGGCCGCGTGGCCGATGGATGCGCGCACCAGGGAGAGCGGCCCGACCGCTCCAGGAACAGGCCACGAGGGACAAAACCGCAGTGCGAATGGCCGAGCGCAGAAAGCAGCCAGCGGCCAGGATCGCCGGCGACGACGTAAGGAGGAGGAAATCAAGCGAGGTGCCGTGGATCGAGGGATGGCGAGGCTCCACGACGCAAAATAGCCCACCACTGGGCACGCTGCATGATGTTCAATGGAATCCTCGTGGGCACACCCGAACACACATCGGGAGCCGCGCTGCTGGAACCGCCCGACCGTGCACCATCCATCAAGCCGCGTTCGCAGGAGAGCGGCATTGACCCGCGGAGGGGCGGCCGTCTCGAGTGCGGACATGACATGCTGCGCCCGCGGCGCGAGCCTGACGGGCGTCACAAAGCCAAGGCGCCAGCGCCCCAGCCGTCGCCGCCAAAAGCGCTCAAAGGCCTCCGTCGCCTTCCCCTGCACGGACAGAGAAGTCCGCTGCCACATTTTGCGGCGCTTGGTGGCGCGCGCGGCGTCGTCGGGCGCCGCGTCGGCGACGCCCTCGATGCACTCCCGCACCCGGGAAGCAGTCCACCCCAGACGTTCGTAATGCGTCGCGGCGGCATCCAAATGCAAAACACATCGCGTTGCCGAGCCAGCTATGCGAAGTGGCCCGTCTGAGGACGAAGACGGAATCTGTCATGACCCCTCGTAGCTCGAGGGCCCGGCGCGCCCTGTGGAAACTATCCTCCCGCGTTTCCCGCTTCGCACCGGGCCACGCGGGAGCCGGCTGCAAGCGACAAGCATCGCGAGGTCCGAATTAGAGGAGAACGAAGAATGACATAAACATGCAAACTCGGGGGTCCGCGCGGATTTCTCGGCTCGGCGCTGGGCTCCGAGCGCCAGGGAGGGGCGCGATGCGCCGATCCGAGACATCCGCGCGGACCTCCGGATTGCTATGTCTATGTCTTTCTTCGTTCCCCTCGAATGCTGCCGGGGAACCCCATCGGACTCGGGCCTCGCAGGGTGGACGGTGAGATCCGCCGGCTCGGGCACGGGAACAGGCGGGCGCCCACTTGGCGCTCGACGGCGGGCCACTCCGTGGGGGCGGGCAGGAGCTTCGCCACGAGCCCGAGCACCGCCACGAGGTATATTCTGGCCGCGATCGGGGGCGCGCAAACATGGATCGGGGGAGGCGCCCGCCCCAAAATGCGGATGGTGCCGCGTCGCTCGGCGGCGGAAGTCCGCGATTTCCCATGAAAGCGGGACCCGTCGCTAATCCACGCCCCCTTGATCCATGGTTGCGATCGCCTGACGCGAGCAGCGCGAACTGGAAGCCACAGCCGACCTTCCCCCACACGGCGGCCTCGTCATACATGTTGCCAGCGGTTTGCGCCATGAGATGCCCTCGCCGTTGGGGCCGAAGGTGAAGCCGAGGTGCTGCGCGGCGTACGCAATCGTCAAGGCGCCCCACCACGGCGCACATATGGCAATCGCATCCCGGAGCCCCTCCAGGGCGACCTGGCGCAAGGGAGCGACGACCGGCTTGCCAAAATCAAGCTCGAGGCAGGGGTTCATCGAGCACTCGCCGAACAAGCTTCTCAGGTGGAGGTGCGGCGTGATGTGGGCGAGGTCGTCGGCGTACGCCCGCGTCAGCGGCGATGGCGAACAACAGCGGCGAAAGCGGGCATCCCTGTCTGACGCCCGCCGAGAGCGCGAAGCCCTCGAACCTTTGCCCCCACACCACACTCTGGCAGATGTTGTCGCGGTACAATGCGGCGATGAACGGGCAGAGGTGCAGCGGCATGCCGATTCACCCCAAGAACTCCATCATGAACGACTGGTCGATCGATGGAACCGCCGCGCGGAAATCGAAAAAGATGCAGGCCCCATCCTCATGCGATAACGCAGTAAAACGTATCTCCGTTTCGATATCGATCACGTTGGCAAGCAACGAACGTCGTTTTGAAAATCCCGCGTTCGAATGCGCTAGTGCTGGTCCTCGTGTTGCCAAATCCGTTGCACTCGAGATGAGTGGTCGTCCTGCTTGCTCGGGTCGATACCACAGAAGCCACCTAGTCAAAGATATCACCTCAAGGGGGGAGGGAGGGTGGATGGGGCTCGATCGAAATCCTGAATGCTTGATAATTTTCTGGCGAAGCGGGCCACAGCCACAACTCGCCTCGCACGAGGCCCTGCTATCTGAGATTGTCATTACTGAACATAAATATTGAATGTTTATCCTGAATCGGTGGTCTACGACGAAAGGCCGGTTTTGTTGCAGGAAGTCTACATCTATTGGGCTGCTGAGATTGCGAATTGCTGACCTTCGGGCCATTGGTGGCAAGGCATTGTTGATCGTTCTTGCACTTCCAACAGCATAGTTCTGCATTCTGGCCATTAGGAATGATGGATTGTCGATTGCTCTGAGGACTGCGGAGAGCTGATAGTTGTGACCTCTGGGGATTATTTCTCCAAATAATTTCCAGACCCAGATGTTCCTTTTAAAAAGAGAGAGAGAGAGAGAGAGAGAAAAAAAAAAAAACAAAAAAAAAAATGTGCGGTCTCAGAAGCCATGACTTTATAAAGACTTGGGAAGATATGCGGACAGGATGGCTAGATGACCGATAGACTAAGCTATCCGTGGTGTCCAGGGGTTGCGAAACCTATTGGACGTCATCGGGTATTGGGGCGGGGCACTTGTCAGTTGGCCGAGTGTTTGCGGGCGTTGGGGTCCGCGCTTGCATTCTTCAACTCATTGCTGGACCCCCAATGTTCGACGCCAGCGTTGGTGTCTGACACCGCGCGGATCGTTCAGCCTTGAACGATCGCGGTTCTCCGATACAGCGGATCGCGGATATGCGATACCAGGCCAAACTTGAACGCACGTCCGCGCTGGGGTCACCAGCACGTCGGCACGGCGCGACTCTGCCATGAGCCCCAAACATCTCCTGGGGTGCGTGACGACCAAGTTCCAAGGCGAATCCGGCCCCGACGACGAGCCTGCCCACACTTAGTTAAAAACGCTCAAGACCCACGATCTCCGAACCCTTCTCTTGAGCAGTTGCGCAGAGGCCGACCGTCCCGGCAATCCCATAGGCCTACCACGAAGTGTTCTTAGAACCCAACACAACGTATTAAGAACAAAGATAAGATTCTTAGAACATAAACCCGATACTTTAAAACAAGACAGACCCAGCCAGAAATGTTTCATGAACAGTTCGTGCAAACCACAAAAGGTTCTCAGACATTCTTTGGTGGGCCACTAGGCAAGCTGGAACGCTTCGCCATTGCCTTGTGGATGCCACGAACATGGACACCCTAACAGTCCTATCATTGAACTTGAAATGTGTACAAAATGTCGGAAAATGTTCTAAACATGTTTCACACATGTTTGTTTACATGTTTGAAACATGTTTAACACATGTGGTAGACATCTGGAAATCATTTGGCAACATGCTTCCTCTCCATTGATCGCCCTCCACAACCATTGCTTAATTCTCACGGCCCCCCCCCCCCCCCCCCGCAGCAGAACCCCTTCGGGCGCGGCCAGCGGTCCCTCTCGTGCTCCGCGGCCTGCTGCTGGTGCCTCCGGTGCAGCTCCTGCCGCCGGCCCGCTGCAAGGGGAACGTCGTCGTCGTCGGTAAACTCGTCGTCGTCGCTGATCTCGTCATTAAACTCGTCGTCGTGCTGGTCGTCGAGCCCGTCTTCGGCGTTGTCGACGTCGTCGTGGTCGTCGTCGTCGTCGAGGTCGTCGTCGTGGTCGTGGTCGTCGTCGTTGTCGTGGTCGTCGTCGAGGCCGTGGTCGTCGTCGTCGTCGTGGTCGTTGTTGTCGTCGCGTTGTCGGGATTTGGCGGCGAGCACGAGGGGATGGCGCAGGGGGGTGGGCCTTTGCGGGGTCTCTTAGAAGGTACTGCGCTTCTTAGAGGGGCCCAGAGGATTCCAAGAAGGCTTCTTAAAACTGGGAGGGCGTATAAGAAGCCACTGCCTTCCTAGACGCTCCCCCACCTTCCTAGAAGGCCGCCCCCCTCTCGCCATCCCCGTGTGCGCACCGCTGAGACGTGCAGTTCCTGCCGCTGGCCAGCTGCAAAAGGTTAGGAGGCAACTCCGGCTACGACTGAGGCCTACTGAGCCCGATCACCTCCTCCCTCCTCGGCTTCTCCCAACCCCTTTTCCTCGCTTGCGATCTCCCTCCACGTCCCTCCTCCTCCTCCTCCTCCTCCTCCTCCTCCTCCTCCTCCTCCTCCGGTATAGAACCCAGGGGGGGTAGCCTACCCTAGGCCCTACCCAAGGGCCTAGGGTAGCCTAGGGTAGGCCCTACCCAAGGCCCTAGGGTAGTCTACCCTAGGCCCTACCCAAGGCCCTAGGGTGGCCTAGGGTAGGCCCTACTCAAGGCCCTAGGGTAGACCTAGGGTAGGCCTTACCCAATGACCTAAGGTAGACCTAAGCATATATATAGAGCCCGGAGGGTAGGCCTACCCTAGGCTTACCCCTAGGCCTACCCCCTAGGCCTACCTAGGACCTACCCTACCCCTACCCCCTAGGCCTGCCCTAGGCCTACCCCGTAGGTCTACCCCCTAGGTCTACCCTAGGCCTACCCTCTAGGCCTACCCCCTAGGCCTACCCTAGGCCTACCCCTAGGCCTACCCCCTAGCCCTACCCTAGGCCTACCCCTAAGCCTACCCACCCCTAAGCCTACCCCCTAGGCCTACCCCTATAGGCCTGCCCGCCCGCCGGATCGAGCAGACGGACCAGAACGGATCGGGTAGGCATTAAAGTGTGGAGCATGTTCGCACTAGCACGCGTGAACCCTAACGGGCGGGTCGGGTCGGGTCGGGCGGACCCTAACGGGCGGGCGGATCGCGGGGGCTGGGCACATAAGACGCTATGTGCGTGTACACTCGACACGCGTGAACCCCTCCACGGGCGGTCAGGTTCGGTCGGGCGGCGGACCAAACGGGCGGGTCGGGTCGGGTCGGGCGGACCCGAACGGTGCGTACGGGTCGGGTCGGAGGGCTGGTGCGTGTACCTTTGACGCGCGTGAACCCTAACGGCGGTCGGGTCGGGTTCGGGGGCGGACCCTAACGGGCGGGCCGAGGTCTGTAGGCGGACCCTAACGGGAGGGTTCGGGTGGGCGGGGGGGACATTGAAGTATGTGCGTGTTACACTGACACGCGGCGGACCTAAACGTGCGGGTCGGGTCGTGTCGGGCGGGCGGACCCTAATGGGCGGGTCGGGTCGGGTCGGGCGGACCCTAACGGGCGGGTCGGGTCGGGCGGGCGGGACATTAAAGTATGGTGCGTGTACACTCGACACGCGTGGACCCAAACGGGCGGGTCGGGTCGGGCGGGCGGACCCTAACGGGCGGGTCGGGTCGGGTCGGGCGGACCCTAACGGGCGGGTTGGGTCGGGCGGGCAGGACATTAAAGTATGGTGCGTGTACACTTGGCACGCGTGAACCCTAACGGGCGGGTCGGGTCGGGTCGGGCGGGCGGACCCTAACGGGCGGGTCGGGGCGGGTCGGGCGGACCCTAACGGGCGCGTCGGGCGGGTCGGGCGGGACATTAAATGATGCTGCATGTGCATTTGACACGCGTGAACCCTAACAGGCGGGTCGGGTCGTGTCGGGCGGGCGGACCCTAATGGGCGGGTCGGGTCGGGTCGGGCGGACCCTAACGGGCGGGTCGGGTCGGGCGGGCGGGACATTAAAGTATGGTGCGTGTACACTCGACACGCGTGGACCCAAACGGGCGGGTCGGGTCGGGCGGGCGGACCCTAACGGGCGGGTCGGGTCGGGTCGGGCGGACCCTAAGGGCGGAGTCGGGTCGGCGCGGGCGGGACATTAAATATGGTGCGTGTGCACGACACGCACGTGAACCCTCAAGGCGGGTCGGGTCGGGTAGGGGCGGGCGGACCCTAAACGGGCGTGGCGGGTCGGGCGGGACATTCAAGTATGGTGCGTGTACACTTGGCACGCGTGAACCCTAACGGCGGGTCGGGTCGGGTCGGGGACGGGCGGACCCTAACGGGCGGGTCGGGTCGGGTCGGGCGGACACTAACGGGCGGGTCGGGTCGGGCGGGCGGGACATTGAAGTATGGTGCGTGTACACTTGACACGCGTGAACCCTCACGGGCGGGTCGGGTCGGGTCGGGCGGGCGGACCCTGACGGGCGGGTCGGGTCGGGCGGACCCTAACGGGCGGGTCGGGTCGGGTCGGGCGGACCCTAACGGGCGGGTCGGGTCGGGCGGGCGGGACATTCAAGTATGGTGCGTGTGCACTTGACACGCGTGAACCCTAACGGGCGGGTAGGCCTCGGGTAGGCCTAGGGGGTAGGCCTAGGGGGTAGGCCTAGGGGGTAGGCCTAGGGGGTAGGCCTAGGGTAGGCGTAGGGGGTAGGCCTAGGGGTAGGCCTAGGGTAGGCCTAGGGGGTAGGCCTTCAGGGGTAGGCCTAGGGTAGGCGTAGGGGGTAGGCCTAGGGGTAGGCCTAGGGTAGGCCTAGGGGATAGGCCTAGGGGTAAGCCTAGGGTAGGCCTAGGGGGTAGGCCTAGGGGTAGGCCTAGGGTAGGCCTAGGGGGTAGGCCTAGGGTAGGCCTAGGGTGTAGGCCTAGGGTGTAGGCCTAGGGTAGGCCTAGGGGGTAGGCCTATGAGTAGGCCTAGGGTAGGCCTACCCCCCGGGTTCTATATGCCTCCTCCTCCTCCCCCTCCCCCTCCTCCCCCTCCCCCATCCCCTCCCCCACACTCCCACCCAGGGGGGTGGACCTGACCACCCCAGAGCCCCCAAACCGTGGCCTCGCAGCAGCCGAGGACCAGCAGGAGACCGGCGAGCCCGAGAACGAGGAGGGCCGAGGCGGGCGGCACGCCCCCGAAGGGGCTTTCCTCGGCCGCGACGCATGGCCGCCGGCGGAGCGCTGCAGCCAGGTCCGCTGCGGCTCCGCGCTGGGGCCCAGCCCAAGACCCTCGGGCATACCAGCGCGGCTCTGACGACCACGACCACGACGACGACCACGACCACGACCACGATCACGACCAGGACCACGACCACCACCCCGACCACGACCACGACGACGACGACAACGACGACGACAACGACGACGACGACGACGACGACGACGACGACGACGACGACGACGACCATGACGCCGACGCAAGCCGGCCAGCGCGAGCGCGCGGGCCCCAGCGGCGGCGACACCGCCGTCTCGCCAGTGCGGCCAGCTCCAGCGGCTCGCCCTCGAGCAGGGCGGGCGGCCGCGAGGCCCGCAGCAGCTGCGGGCCGAGGCCCGGCGCGCCGCCGCGCCGCACCAGGTTTGGCGCCCCGTGGAGCGAGGAGGCCGAGGGCGAGGATTGGGGGCTGGCGCTCGCGCCAGCGGGCGGTGCGCCCTGCGGAGCGGGGCGCCAAACCTGGGCCCCTTGGGGCGCCCCAGGTTTGGCGCCCCTTGGAGCGAGCATCATGGCGGGCGCTCGCGCCAGCGGGCGGTGCGCCCTGCGGCAGCCGCGCTGCGGAGCAGCACAGCGGGCGAGCGCGGCGTCGGCGGAGTCAGCGCCGCCGCGGGCGCCGCAAGGTCATGCCGCCAGGGTGGGGAAACGGGGGCGCGGAGGGGACGAAGTCAGCGAGAAGACAGCCCACCCCCCTGCTCCGCCTCCTCCTCCTCAAGATGACTCTGGAGATCTCTAGAGATGCCTCAACAAGACGCAAACACGTCATAAGTTCGCATCCTCCATGGTCTTCCTCTGTCTCCCAAGACATCCGATATCTTGCTCTGCCTCCCCAGACATACGGTGCCTTGCTTTGAATACGGGCACTCGACAAGCCTGACCCTGTCCCCCACGACCGTAACAAAAAACAACTCGGAATGAGACACCGGCCCCCTGGGAACGGGTGCTTAACTTCGGGGAACAAGCAATGGCATAAACATAAAAGCTCTGAGGTCCGCGCGGATTTCTCGGATCGGCGTTGGACTCCCCTCCATGGCGCGCGGAGCGCACCAGGGGCGGCGCCAGAGGCGCCGCCAAGGGGCTCCAGCGCGGCCCTTCGAGTTTCTATGTTTGTGTCATTGTTCGTCCCCCTATAACTCCAGGGGGCCACGTTCTGCGCAGACCACAAGTCTCTGTCCCCATCTCCACCAGGAACGCCTCGGCCCCGCTGGCCGACCTGTCCCGCCAAAAGGGGATGATGGCTGCCTTCTCCGACGGATGACGCGGCATCCGCCCCCACCTCGGCGGAGTAGGCTGGTTGCGCGGAGCAGCCCTGGCCCACTGGGGATGGGGATGGGTCCAGGGATGCCGAAATCCTCGTTTCCGCGAGCGAGATCCAAGGGGCCCGTCGCGAATGGCATGGTTCGTTCGCGTGGTCCCCTGTGTCGGGATGAGAGCCTGGTCCCTGCGGAAGGGTCCAGACCTCTGGGGAACAACGCTGTCCCGACGATGTCAGGCGGTGCCACCCTACAGATGAATATTTCTGGCCCAAGATAGCGAACAAAGAAATACCGAGTGGGCAACTGCCCAAAAATGAGATTGCTCCTGCCCCCAACCCCTTCCAGAACCCACCGCAGCGGCCAAAGGCGCCCCAACCCGTTCGAATATGATCCTCGATCGTCCCTGTCCTCCCCTCGATCGACGACGACTCGGACATCCAACGTCGCAATGTTTCCACAACGTGGCTTCCCAGGGCCCCTAGAGGTCTGGACGCCTTTCTGGATTCTGGCCCTGAATCCCGAATCGTTTCTTCATGATCCTGGGGCCCAGCGAGGGCCATCAGAGGCCGAAAGCAGCGCCAAACCGCAGCCTTGATTTTCTCAAGACGCTTGATGCAATTATGGAATCTCCCCCCTTCCTCCCTCACCCCTTCGTCTTGCCATCGCTCGGACGCCTTCATGTGCATCTGTCGGTTCCGTGCGCGTTGTTTGCGCAAGATGGTCCAGGATGCTCCTCGATGGCCCTCGCCGAAGAGAAGTGCACACGTCCGAGCAATTGAAGGGGCCCTGGGACACACACACAAATAAATACACACAAATAACAGGATTCCCCATATTTTCCTACATTTTCTGGGTTTCTGTCTTCCCCCCCACTTCCCATATTTTCCCATATCCTCTGCGGAATCGACGATTCATTGTGCCTGTGTGTGTTTTCCCTCCTGAGCAATGCCAAGTCGTCGTCTCGGGCCGCTGCTCCTCGAGCGCCGACCCCAGCGACTTGGCGCTCTGCAGCTCGTGGTGCGCGGCGAGCGCCTCCAGAGGGGCGGCGCCGCTGGCGCAGCCGCCTCGCTCCTCCCTGCTGCTGCTCATCCGCGATGGACAAGACTGAAGGGGGCCCTGGGACACACAAATAAAATAAATAGACACTGATAACAGGATTCCCCATATTTGTCCATATGTTCAGGGTTTTTGTCTTCTCCCCCACTTCCCATATTTTCCCATATTTTCTGGGGAATCGACGATTCATTGTGTCTGTATGTTTTTTGCCCCTCCTGAATTTCACGAGGTCGACCTGCTAATCAGACCCGACTGCGCCAGGGAGGTGGGGGGCATCGAGCTTGCGAGCTTGCCAGCCTCTGGCAACCACCCCGGGATCGACCGGGCGAGACAGGATCGGCAGCCGGACGGGTTCCAGTGTGTTTCGCGGGGTCCCCAGATGTTCCAGGGGGGGAGAAGTGACAGGGGGATGACGATGAGAAGCAGAAACGGGAGCAGGAGGACGAGAAGGATGACGAGAGGAAGGAGGCAGACGCGGAGGGGGGAGGGAGGACCAGGAGGAATGAGCAGGGGGAGCAGGCGCAGACACGAGGAGCAGGGGGGAGGGAGAACCAGGAGGACGAGGAGGAGGAGGAGGCGCAGCGCGAGGAGCAGGAGCGGGAAGAGGAGCGAGATGAGGACTGGGGGAAGGAAGGGAGCGAGAGGGAGCAGGCGGAGGGGGCCCTCGCCGCGCAAACGTCGATCATCGCACAAAAGCCGCGAAAGCCTTTCTTTCTTGGTGTTCTGCCTCCAGGAGCCGTTGCCAGGCCACGGGGCCCACAGGACTCCGGACTCAGAAGCCCACGCCACGAAACGCTCGCTGGAGGAGATGGGGAGGAGGAGCGCGGAGGAGGAAGGAGGGGGAGGGGGGAGGAATGGGGGGAGGGGAAAGGGGAGAGGAGGAAGAGCAGGACGATCAGGAGAAAGATGCCAGCCACCGCATGGCGAGTGCGGTGCACGAATAGACTGCAGAGCCATCAGCGGGCACTGCCGTGCCGTTCCCCAGGGAAGAAATGACCCTCAACTTCCCTGGACACCCAAGCAACCAGAGGGGGACCAGAGGATAGAGACACCACTTCGTACTCCCTGGACTGGGACCTCTCCCGTCGTGCGATCTGACTTGGATTCCGAGGCGAATCCAACCGTGGCGACGAGCATATTAGGTTCTCTTGGAGCGCTCTTGGGGCCCTCTTGGGTCGTCTTGGAGGCCTCTTGGGCCGTCTGGAGGCCATCGTGGGTGTTCTTTGATTGCTCTCGGAAGTGAAAGAGTTCCCCCAAGGCCCGAAAGCTGGCCCCCCCGGGCCCCAGGGGCTAAATCCCACCAGCCCTCTGAGCGTAGGTGGTCTAGGGAGCTTCCTCTTCCAACCCCCTCTTCCCATTCGGGGAGGCGTTTATCACTGTTCCTTATTAATAAACCCCCTCCCCCCGACCGGCATCCAACCAGGAACCTTGAGGACACCATGGCGACCCGCCCCCACCATCCCTGTCACAAAAACAATACAAACCGCACTCTGCCTCCACATTTGGAGCATGCGCGGCCAACCCGATGTGCCCCCCCACCATCCCTGTCAAAAAGCAATACACAATACACTTCGGGGCAAAGTCTTGAGTCATGTTCGTGAGGCCCGCGAGCACTTTGTATTGTTTTGGACAGGGACGGCCGGGGTATCAGCATATTCCCCGCTGCGCGCAAGGCTACCATCCCTGATAAAGACAAAAAAACAATACAACATGCACCTCGCGGCTAAATCTGGATCATGCGCGGCCATCCCGGGATCACTGTCACATAGTTTTGGACTGGGACCGCGGGGATGGTGGCGCGTGGCCTGCTGTGTGCAGGCCCACCAGACACAATGATGGGCACCGGTTTTCGACAAGGATTGTGGGGGCCGACATGTTTCCCGATGTGTGCTGTCACGTGCGCAGGCGCACCTGACGCACTCTGCACCTGCCCCGAACGTGGCGCACCTGGCGCGGCTGGGGTGTGCGGCACACCTGGCGCACTCGGAGCACGTGCCGCATCTGGCGCACCAGGCGTGCCTGGCACGCTAGGGCCCAAAGAGTGCCTGGCGCGCGTGGCACCCCTGGCACGCGTGGCGCACCTCGCCCAAGCGTCGCGCACCTGGGGTCGGCTTTAGTTCCCAGTAGCTGCCCATCCAAAGACGACCGCTGAACATGCTCAGGCTCGGGTGTTCCTTATGTGTTGGGAGGACGCGTGGGAGTGAGCCAGATGGCTTGCGGGCGGGTGGGTAGCTTGATCACTGTTCCCTATTAGTATACACCCCCTCCCCCAGGCGACTGGGAGCCAACCAGGGTCAATGCGGGCACCCCCCCCACGATCCTTTGTAAAAAAGCAATGCAAAACATACTGTGCCTCCTAATTCGGAGCATGCGCAGCGAACCCGATGCGGCCAGCGGCCTCCCCCCACCATCCCTGTCAAAAAGCAATAAAGAGTACACGTGGCGGCGGCGGCGGCGGCTGCGGCGGCTGCAGCGGGGGCAGCGGCTGCAGCGGCTGCGGCGGTGGCGGCGGCGGTGGCGGCGGCGGCGGCGGGGGCGGCGGCGGCGGCGGCGGCGGCGGCGGCGCCGGCGGCGGCTGCGGGCGCGCGGCGGCGGCGGCGGCGGCGGACCGCGGGCGGCGGCGGCGGCGCGGCGCCGGCGGCGGCGGGCGGCGGCGGCGGCGGCGGAGGCGGCGGCGGCGGCGGATTCACCCCCAGTAGCTGCCCATCCAAAGACGACTGCGGAATATGCTGCGGCTCGGGCCAGGCTCGGGTGCTACGTATGTGTTGGGAGGGCGGGTGGGAGTGAGCGAGACGGCTTGCGGGCGGGGAGGGAGTCTTGACCCCTCCCCCTACCCCCTCCCCTGGACCTGGACGAGGGGGGGGGGGCGCGACGCGTTGGAGCGTCCAAGATGGCCCAAGATGGATCCAACAGCGCCTCGGAGAGCCCAAGACGACCTCCGAGATGGTTCAAGATTGCGTAAGATGCCTCAGATGGCACCCGAGATGGTCCAAGAGGCCCCAAGACGGCTCCAAGTGGCCAAAAAGCTCCCCAAGGACACCCCTGAGAGGCAACAATCTGTCCGAAACCTACGGTAAATCAATGTGTGTTGTTTTCTTGCCTTTGCGCTTCCGATGGCCATCCGAGGCCTCAAGATGGCTCCAAGATGGCCCAAGAGGACCCGAAGAGAGGCTCAAGAGAGTGCCAAGACGGCCCCAAAGAGCGCTCAAGAGCGCTCCAAGACCGCCCCAAGAGCTCCCCAAGAGGCGATATGTGAGGCTCCCAAGGGGCAACGTTTTTTTAATATTATTATTAATATTTTATATATAAAAAACAAAACATCCCCTCTTCGTTGATCGATCTCCTCCAAGGCGGCCCCAAAAGCGCCCCTAAAGCCCCCAAGAGCGCCCCAAGAGGGCCCCAAGAGGCGCCTAGGCGGCCCAAAGAGGCCTCCAAGAGGTTCGACCCCCAAAAGGCCCCCAAAGGCTTCAAGAGGATCCCCGAGGCACCCAGGATGCCCCCCAGACATTTCAAGAGGCCTCCCCGAAACACCTAAGACGCCCGAGAGCCCCCCAGGACCGCCAAGAGACCCCCAAGACGTTCCAAGAGGCCACCATGAGACGCCCAAGCGATACCCCAAGAGCATCCGAGAGGCATCCAAGAGACCTCTGGCCCTCATGCTCGCCCTCATCCTCTTGCTCGTCCTTCCTCCTGTTCCTTTTCTTCCTCATCCTCCTCCTCCTCCTCTTCCTCATCCTCCTCCTCCTCTTCCTCCTCTTTTTCATCATCATCATCATCATCATCATCATCATCATCATCATCATCATCATCATCATCATCATCATCATCATCATCATCATCATCATCATCATCATCATCATCATCATCATCATCTCGTCATCATCATCCATCATCACCGCCATCATCACCATCGCCATCATCATCATCCGCATCATCATCACAATCTTCACCATCATCACCATACTCATCATCATCATCATCATCACCATCACCATCACCATCAACATCCGTATCACCATCATCATCTTCATCCTCATCCAGATCATCATCATCAACATCATCAACGTCATCATCATATTCAGCATTTTCATACTTTTTCTCCCCACTCCCTCATCCGTCCATCCAGCCTCCTCCTTCTCCTCCTCCCCCCATCCATCGCACGGTTCAGCCGTCCACCTCTTTGCTCCCGCACGTCCCTGATCACCTCAACTCGCCACCACATCGTTTCTGGATGGGCTGATGGGGGTATTTTTGTCAACAGGCTGGCGAGGCAAGTCGAAAGCCGTCCGAAGACCAGTCGGGCCGCGACTAGGCAGCAGGAAAAGAAGGGCAAGCGAAACGATCGAGCGAGCGGGCAGCCACTCAGGGGGAGAGCCAGAACCAGCTCCCAAACCCGGTGGCCCTGGAAATCCCGCCAAGATGGCGCGGCGGCGCGACCATAAACACGCAGAAGTCGACCGCTCGGTGTGACTCAGGCAAACAGCGCCGTCAGAGACGAACTAGACCGGCAGGCACACCCAGACGACATCCGTGAAGTAGGCGACACAAGTGCCAAAACATCCTGTCGGCGCAAGAGTGAAGAGGAGCAACCTCATCATCGACAAGACTGCAAACGGCAGTAAAACCTGCAACACTTGTCGTAAGCGACGTCCATGGCTGATGGGGATAGGCAAAGCGTCTAGAATTTGGGGCGCCAAGGGGGTGAACCGATGTGTCATTGTGTCCTGGGGGCGGCCAGGGGACCCAACACTCGGGCGTGTCCCCCTACAGGCGGATTTTGGGCAAACAAAACAATCCAACGAATTTTTAAAAAATGCCCCCAAAAAACATAATCAAAGAATCGTCCCCAAACTATCTCTTAACTTTTACTATTTTTGAATATTCCTCCTGTAGAGGGACATGCCCGACTTAACAGTCCGGTTTGTCTGGGAGCGCCGGCCCGACCTGTGCGCAAGACGAGGCCTGCCCGACCGCAGCCTGCCCGATTGCGACCCCCCGGTACCGCGCGGCTGGGGGCCCCTGGCCTGAGACTGGCGGTCGCGGAGGTGGTCCGCGGCGGCAGTCTCGTTGGCGTCGCCGGGCTTGCTACCGCTGGAACTGGTACTGCCATTCCTGCCGGAATGCTTGGCGCTGCCGTTCCTGCGGGAAGCGTTGGCGCTGCCGTTCCTGCCGGCGGGCCTGGCGCTGCCAGCCCTGCCGGAGGGCCCGGCGCTACCGTTCCTGCCGGAGGGCTCGGCGCTGCCGTTCCTGCCAGAGCGCGTGCCGTTCTTCGCGCTGGAGGTGCTGACATTCGCCTGCCCGCGCGGCTCGGCTGCAGCAGCAGCAGCACTGGCCCGCGGCGCTGGGGCAGTGGCGGCTGCGGTTCGCAGGCTGCAGAGGCGGCAGGCTCGGAGGAGCGGGGTGTGGAGCATGGGGTGGAAGAGGGGCGGGAGGATGGCGACAAAGGGCGGAGCGGAGCGCAACTGCGCCGATGTCGCCCGCACCCGAGAAGGGAACGGCGGTTGCGCCTCAGTTGGATTCGCGAACGTACATCGATTACATATCCCACCACAACTCGTCATCGCAGGCAACCGGTTCCCAGACAGGGGGGGGCCGAGAGAAGGGAGCGGAAGAGGGAGGGTGCGCCGCTGGATCTCCCCAAGGGCGGGGGGGGTTAGGACCCCCCCCCCCCGTTCCCCCGATCCGTCGTCGGGGACCCCCCCCCCGATCCGGGGACCCCCCCCCCCTCCCCCTCTCAAAGGGGGGGGGGTCCGACCCCCCCCCCCTCCTCCCCCCCCCTTTCGCCACGCCGCCCCCTGACTCCGGAACCCGACCCCCGCCACCCCTACCCCTAGTCCTCACCCTAACCCAAGCCCCTCATCCGAACCCCAACCACTAACCCCAGCCCCAAAGAGCACTCACTACTCATTACTCACTACCCACTACTGACTACCCCCTACTCACTACTCACGACTCACTACTCACTATCCACTACTCACTACCCACCACCCACTACTTGCTACTCACTACTCCCTACTCACTACTCCCTCCTCCCTACTCACTCACTCCTAACTACCCACTACTCAATACTCACTATTCACTAAGCACTAGTCACTACTCCCTACTCACTACTCACTAATCACTACTCATTACCCACTACCCACTATCCACTACTCACTACTCACTACTAACTGCTCATTGCCAACAAATCACTACTCACTACCCACTACTCGCTACTCGCTACTCCCTACACAATACTGACTACACAGTACTCAGTACTCACTACTCGCTATTCCCATAATTTCTACACAATACTCACTACTCACTCTCTACCCACTTTTCACTACTCACTACTTACTACTCCCTACTCACTAGTCACTAAATAGTCTCTAGCCACTAGTCACAACTCACTAGCCCCCAATCACTAGTCGCTACTCACTACCCACTACTCACCAATCGCTACTCACTACCCACTATTCGCTACCCACTTATTACTACTCACTGCTCACTATTTACTACTCCCTACTCCCTACTCCCTACTCCCTACTCACTACCGGCTAATCACTACTCGTTACTCACTAATCACGACCCACTACTCACTACTGACTACTCTCTACCCACTACTCACTACTCACTACGCCCTACTCGCTCCTCACTACTCACTACTCGCTACTCCCTACTCGCTACTCACTACTCACTACCCACTGCCACTACCCACGACTCTCTATTCATCACTACTCACTACTCACTGCGCACTACGTACTATTTACCCATCACTACTCACTACTCACTAGTCACTACTCGCTACTCACTACTCACTAGTCACTACTCACTACTTACTACTCACTACCCACTACTCACTACGCACTACGCACTACCCACTACTCACTACTCACTACTCACTTCTCACCACCCACTACTCACTTCCCACTACTCACTACCCACTACTCATTCCTCCCTACTCCCTACTCAGTACTCACTACTCGCTACTCGCTACTCGCTGCTTACTACTGAATACTCACTACTCGCCACTCACTTCTCACTTGTCAGTACACACTACTCACTATTCACTACTCACTACTCCCCACTCCCTACTCCCTACTCCCTACTCGCCACTCACTACCCACTACTCACTACCCAATACTCACTACTCACTACGCACTCACTCGCTACTCACTACTCACCACTCCCTATTCCCAACTCCGTACTCCCTACACGAAGGGGGGGGGTCCGACCCCCCCCCCTTTCCAGCGCCAAGGGGGGGAGGGGGGGGGGGGTCCGGACCCCCCCCCTCCCCCTTCAAGGGAGGGGGGGGGGGCGGGACCCCCCCCCCCACTTAAGGGGGGGAGGGGGGGGGGGGAGTCCGGACCCCCCCCCCCCCCCCCTTGAAGGAGGGGGGGGGGGGGGGGGGTTCTGGACGCCCCCCCTTTAGTGTATTCAGGGAGATCCACTGGCGCACTTTCCGGGAGAGGCAAAGGAGAGGGAGAGAGAAACAGGAGGGAGCGGAGCAGAAGGTGGACGACCAGGACGGCGAGGACTGGGGAGAAGCAGGAGCAGAAAGAGCGGCAAGGGGCGACGAGGTGAGGAACGAGAAATGGCAAGGAATGAGGTGTGAGCGCAAAGTGGGAAGCGAGGAAGCTGAACTCCTCGCGTCCCAATCCAAAAATCACGACGGGAAAAGGCTGGCCACGTTCGGTCTGCTCACCGGGTCCCGGGCCCTTCAAAGAACGGCTGGAGATGAAAGCCGACCTGTAAGAAACGCAGCCTGGGATGTCTGGGGAGTACTCGTCGGACGAGGAATGCGCGGGTAAAAAAGACGAGGCTGCAGATTGGCGGCCGAGGGGTCTGAACTGGTTGGGACCCCAGGAAATCGGCCAGGAGGGAGCTGGCCAAATCCGCTCAAGATCCCAGGGTCCACCTGGTGCATGTTTTGACCCCAGATCCGCTTCTTACGGTCCCAGGGACCGAAAACGGCCCCAGGAGGCCAAAACAGACAAAAACCCTCACAAATCTAGCGCCTCGAACCTGCCCGCCCTGCCTGCTGGCTGGAAGCAGTGCTGGGCGATCTTGGACCCCCAGACGGCTCCAAGCTGCAGACGAGGAAGAGTTGTAGGAGGGGGGTAGGCGCCCTCGTGATCCCCAGAAAGTCACAAACCGCCCCAACAACAATCAAAGACTGTTCACTCTTCGTTGCTTGCATGGCATTCAATATGTACACCACAAACCTTCGGTACCCGCGCACCTCGTCTTCGACCGTACCCCCTTTCATGGGTATCCGCCACCGTGCCCTGAGGCACGAGTTGGAGTGTCACCAGATCCCTCGAGTTCTCTGTCCTGTCCTGAGGATTAAATATTCAAGGGCCAGGACTCCCGAGTCTTGAATTTTCTGGAGCTTCCTGCACGCCAGGCGTTTTCCTGCATGCAATTGTGTTGTTCGCGCGTGTCCCCGCCTGACTCTTTCGGAGGGCCCACGACGGCCCACGAAGGTTCGAAGAGGCCCCTGAGACGGTCCAAGAGGGTCCGCAGTCGCCCGAAGATCACTCCAAGACGCTCAAGATGGCCTCCTGACGATCCAAGAGGCACCCAAGACGCCCCAAGAGGGCCCCAAGAGGCTCCCCAGGAGGGCCCCGAGGGGCTAGATCTTCGAGTCCCATCTGGGATTAGATCGGCTTTAGCGTTCTCGCCTTTTCGGACTCTCGGCGCTCCAAGACGGCCCGCAAGATCACCCGAGGACGGCCCAAGTGACCTCCCTCACAGCTTCATTATTTTCCTCTTCATTCTCTTTTCTCTTTTCTCTTTTATTAATTTCATCTAAAAGAGAATGATAATGAGAAAGGAAAATAATTCAAAGAAGCTGTGAAGGGGGAGGCCTCACACGGCCCACGGGGGCCCAACGAGCGGCCCAAGAGAGGCCCCAGAGGGGGGGAACACGAACCGGCATTTCGCGCCCTCAGCTCAAAGACGGCCCAAATCCGACCCCTAAAGGTCCACGAATGACACCTCAAAACCGCCTCCAAGAGCCACCCGAGAAGCGCCTCCCGAGAAGCCTCCCAAGAGACCCCTACAAGCATCCAAGAGACCGCTGGCATACCACCAATGCACGGTGGCAAGATGGGCCGCAGGTCGCGCCACTACTTTCTTCCCTTGCTTGCCACGCGTGACTGGCGCAGCTCCTAGAATAGGAGGAAGGAAGGAAAAGGACAGTGGAGAGAGCGAGGACAGGAGAAAGAGGAACGGAGAACGGAGGGGGGACGAGAGGAAGGGCGGAGGAACCAGGACGAAACGAAGATAGCAGGAGGGCGAAGAGAGAGAGAGAGAGAGATAGAACCAAAAACTTTGCAAGCAACAAATAGACCCTGACGGGCGGGGGTCGGGTGGGCGGACCTCGGGCGAAAGAGGTATCAATGTGGGCCGTCCGACTTCCAACTGCGTGGAAGGCCAGACCCCGACGGGCATGTCAGCTGGGCGGACCCTGGCGGGCGGGTCGGGCGGACGGACCCTACAAGGCGGGTCGTGCGGGCGGACCCTAACACTAACACCCGGGTCGGGCGGGACATTGACGCGAGCGGGCGGGCTTCCCAAGCAGGCGAACGGGCGAATCCTCACGGCCGGGCGGGTCGGGTGGGCGGATCCTGGCGAACAGGTCGGGCGGGCGCGGGTCGGTCGAGAGAGGGCTGTGAAGCAATTGCGCAAATTGCGGAAAAGCCTCCGGCAAGAGCAAGAGCCCTGAGTAATCTGCAGGGAGGTATCGCGCGAGAGGTCGAGAGCGCAGCGCCTGTGCGAAAAGTCATAGGGGAGAGCGCGACTCGTGCGTAGATTGTGCGGAAGTTTCGAGCGATAATGCGATTTCGAGTAAATCGACAAGAAGTCTCAGGCGGGACCATTGTTGTTGTAGTCCGGGGGCCAGGGTCTCGGCTGAGACTCCAGAGTTCCCTGATCCAAAGTGGTGCGAACCCTGGGGGGGATTTCAACTGAACATAAACATGGGCACCAGACGGGAGTTTCGGCACAAACGTTAGCCAGGGTGGACCCCAAACAGTGTGTCCTGGCATGTGGATCTATGTGGTGTGTGATGCTATTTTTGCGGTGCAGTCTATGTTGTTCCAAATGCGATGTACAACCTATGTGGTTCAACCTATGTGGTACACCTATGTTGTGGAATCCATGCTACTTGTCTTGGATGAAACAGATAGGAGCGGACCGCATGACGGAGCTCCAACTATAACAGCCTGCCGCGCGAGAGGTGCACGCTCAACGCACGTGGGGGCAAGCATTCAGGAGGAGGAGGAGGAAGAGGAGGAGGAGGAGAAGGGAG